AAAAGTTCGCAGACCAAACGGATGTCATAAATCTCTTAGTTTGCAGGATTGGGTCTATCGCCGAGGTCTACACTTATCTTTCGGGAGGGTGTAGTATTCGCGGTATCAGGCACGATTATGCAAACTATTGGACGAATGAGATCCATTTGGTCTCATTTTTCAAAAAAAAAACTAAAACACACTACTTTCAAAACCCAAACTATATATCTTTTATACTTAAACTAAATCTCAAAAAATTATTTTTATATACCATATTTTCATAATTAATCAATCGAAAAAAAAAGTTGACCGACAAAGACATGTCAAACATGAGTCATAATAAAGTCAGATGTTTGGTCAAATATTAAAAAATTAAGTATTATAAACTTATGGAAAAGTACTTTTGAAATCTGTTGATGTATCAACTTTGTAAAAATGACCAATTGTTATTTAAATTAGGTAACTTTATTGTACTTTTTGTGCCACTCATTGTCTTGAGTTAATGTTTGAAAAGTTGGAACAATTGCCACAACATGAATATGCTTTGCTTAAAACAAAAATAATAAGTAAATTTATTTATAATCATTCAATTTAATGAGAAAATTCATAGAAAAATAATTTATCTGACCAACAATTATAAGATTTATCAAGGCTTATTTAACCTTGTGAAGAATCGAAGAGCTATGGCAAAATTGGGAGACTATGTGTGTATCTGAAGGATGAGATGAAAATTCTTGGGCAAAAGAATCAGAAGGAAAGTGAAGAATATTATTATAAGAATCAAGTCATTTTGGCATAGTCTTAATTATACTCTTAAGACTATAAAGCCTTTAGTGAAAGTATTACGAATGATTGATGATGAGAGAGCTCCTAATATGCAATTTATTTTTAAAGCTATAAACAAAGCAAATGAAGAGATAAAAAACGAACATAGAGAACAAGAAACTTCTTTTAAAAAAATATAAAAAATCATTAATAAAAATATAATTATCAGCTACATCAACATTTACATGTTGCATATTATTTAAATCATCAATTTTTATTATGATAAAAACTTTAACTAGGATAAAGAAGTTAAGGCTGATTTATACGCGTGCATGAATAAAATAGTCTCTGAGACTGAGACTATTTTAAAGTTAACGATCAACTTGAAGATTTTACTTTGAAGAACAAAGTGTTTGAATTTAAAGCTACTCAAGCATGCTACAAGATACGCCACCTAGTAAAATTCATTTATATGTATTTTTAAATATATGTTGTTTATTAGTTATAAATTTATATGTAAAGTTTTTATCTTAATATATATTAACAATTTTATTTAATTTTATGCTAGAATGTTAATGAACACAATTCAAAGATAACGTGCCTATACTCGAAGCATTTGCTGTGAGTTCTTAATATTACTTGTTTAGCTTCCACATGTCATAGCAATTGGAGTATATTCAACCAACCACATACAAAGAGAAGAAATTGATTGACCACAAGTTGAATGAACAAGTTAATTTATGTAATGTTTAATAAAAAATTGAAAGAGACACTTAAAGTTACAAAAAAAAAATTGTGGTGATGTAATAGACATTTTAATTATTGATGATACTATATTTGATGATAACTGAATAATGCTAAGAATGATGAAGGATTTTAGTTTGATGATGAAGGAAAAAAAATTTAATGATGATGATAATGAAAAAATCAATGTTAACATTGAAAGAGGTAAAAGGGATATTAAATTTCGAGCATCTTTTACTTCATAATTATTTAAAAGAAAGAAACAAAGTGGGAATGGAGGTTCAAAAAACTCTAAAGACAATTTAAGCATAGTTGATTACTTAGTTGTATTACTAATATATTGTTTTATTTAAAATCATATTGAATTTAAGGTTAATTGATGTAAGGAGGAAACGACAACTACTACCATAACAAGGATCTATCCCAATAAATGGGGTTGGCTACATGAATCTTTTTTCAACATTGTGTCCAATTGAGTGAGTGGGGAGTAAAATGAAAGAAGTAAAAATTGAAGGAAAATTTTAGAATAATGATAACAAAAAATTTGACTATAATAGATTTATTACATATGATGATTTTTCCCAAGATGATGGAAAAAATGATGAAATCACTGTGGTTCCTAATAATTATGGCATATTTAAATTCAAATTTTAATGTTTAAATATTGTTTCAAGTTTGTTTTATATAATTAATAGAATTCAAGTTGGTTGGTTGAAGTGGAGGAATGCATCGGGCCTATGGTGTGATAGAAAAGTATTGCTTAGATTTAAATGAAAATTTTATAAGATACTGGTGAGACATGCAATGCTCTATGACACAGAATGTTGGCCTTTACAAGAGAAGCATAAAACTAAGTTAAGTGTTGTTGATATGAGAATGCTTAGGAGGATGAGAGGCTTGACACTTAGAAACGACATGCGAAAAAAAATGTATTCATGAAATGGTTGGTGTAGCTCCAGTGGCAGACAAGATTAAAGAGGGTCGTCTTAGATGGTTTGGTCACATTAAAGGTCGAACATTTGATGATTCAGTAAAGAGAGTAGTGTTTTAGATTTGACTTATGTTAAGAAATAATCTTAATTTATTTGGACATATTGTATAAAAATAATCTTAATTTATTAGAATTAAATGAAAATATAACTCTCAAGGACGCAATGGAGAAAAAAGGATTCATGTAGATGACCCGCTAAGGGTGCATTTAGGGCGGCGATGTGGTGGCGTAGTGCTGCACCGCTGTTTTTTCTGTTTGGCACAACTGTGTTTTCCTATGTTCTCAAAAAGCTGCAATTCAAAGTTATGGTTTCCCACCGTACCTGACTACCTGTGGCGGAGTCTGATTTATTAAAAAAGAAAGAAAATTTGTAAAGCCAACCATAGTTTTTTGAAAAGCAGTTTCTTCTTCAACAGAACTATTTCAAACAGCTGCAGCTGCCCCAAACAGACCCTTAGTGGGATAAATATTTGCTTTTGTTGTATATTATTAATATTTAAGATTAAGATATGTGATTTTTTAAAAGTCATATTTATGAGATATGTTCAATTTTAGGCTTTTTTTTTTAAACTCACGCATCATCCGCCTCTAGGCTTATGTCTCACCATGCTAAGGGAAAACACTTGAATTCTCGATTTCGCCCTTTTAAACATTGCTCTCAAAAAGAATAAAAAAAGAATTATGAAACTAGCTTTTAGAACTCAGGTCCAACCACATCTAAACCTTACATAGGAACAAATTAGCATTTATAAAAACTGATATTCAAGATAGTCAGCCTTTTCCGACCCCAAATCCTCATATTCCTGGCCTTCCAGCACACAGGGCCCTCTCAAATCATTACAAGAAAAACATCATCGTAAGACTTGAATTATTGGGTTTTAATACAATAAGATTTCTGAGGATCTGCTCTAGAGATGGAAAAAAAATCCAAGCGAGTTACAAATAGACGAGAATTGTAGGATTTTTTTTCTACTATAAAATTAAAACGGACCAACAAATTTGTTAGCAATGATAGTACAGGAGCTAGTTCAACTAGCACATTCAATATTTTCTGAAGTTGTATGTAATCAATCTGTCCATCCTGGATTCAAATCACACAGAATAAAAGTATAAACAAATAAATCATAAAAATGAACAACGTGAGTACCTCAAAAGATAGTGTAAGCATTGAATTCCTACATCTTTTGAGATAAGATAATCCACCAGAACCGAGTGATCATAATGTAGCTGTAAAGAAACAACAATAACAAATGCCAGAATTTAATGTCTTGCAGCTAAAGAAGTAAAATATTGAAAAACAAAAACTTTATCATTATTAAGTAATTTCTTTGCAAGAAACTAAAAGGCTTAGGATTCCTAATACAACTAAAATGATGCAATGATAAATATATATATATATATTCCATTTCAGTTTTCAAGATTAATAAATATATTGAGACCTTTTTGTGGCATATGTTTCTTCATTAACTGCCTCAAGCAATGCAAAAATAATAGTAGATCTTTTTGCAAATAAAAAAGTTGATTTCTCAATTATAAATGTGATTTTTTTAATCCTATGTTCAAGCACCCAAATACCATGTTATGGCTCGTGATATTTAATTATCCTACAATAGTGATTTTTGAATCGTAAGCTCAAGAAGCCCGATGTCGTGTTATGACTCAATTCTCCTACAATAAAAATTCGCATCAAAACCTTTGTTCCTACTCGATGGCATCAAGAAACTTTTTCAATATTCTCTCAAATATTAGGAACGTACAAAGTATGGTTTGTTGACCAAACCGATATAAAATTATCGCAGTACTCTACATACTTTTATAGGTATGTTATCTAAACAAAAAAAATTACTCTTATGCATATTTCTCAAAGTTAATTCAACTTCAAAATTACGAACAAATGTAAAACAACCTTCACGATTATGTTTATTTATCTCTTTTAAAATATGTTTTCATGTTTTCAAATTACTCTCACTTAAAATTTTCTCAAAATAGCAATCTCATATTCCTTTGATCTCCCAATGTTTAACTAAGATTTTGTTATAGTCAGTTTTAGTGCATCAAACTTTATCAAAGTTTTTAATATAATAGAAATATATCTCAAATATTTTATTAGTTAAAAATAGGGAATAAGACTAGTTACAAAAGGTAGGGACAAGGGCAATTACAGGTAAGAGGTGATGAAAGATGCTTAAGAATATATGGTTCCAATTTACTAAAATGATGCAGAAAATATAGATTATGCAAGACAAATAAAGATTCACATAACAAATACTACTAAATACATAAAAATAATTTTCTTCAGGTGTAAACTAAAAAATTTATGAAAGCCCAAATTAACATTTATGATACAACGATCAATCAATTCAAAGAATTAATGAGAAATTAGATCCATGAAAAATCAACCATTAACAGAATTTCTTTTTACTGTATTATTAAATTTATTTTAATTATTTTCTAGATATCTTATTTCTACTTCCAAATACCTAGGCTACTAAATAAATCATTAAAAGTTATAGTTTCTTTTCTTTCTAACTACTCGCTTTCTAGAGCTTCTAATATATTTGCAATTATTTTATATCCAAGTAGTTTTTGCTTTCAGCCATTTCTTTCATAGTAAATTACTAAAAAAACTTAAAAAAAAAATCACATAAAGAAACTATTTGACAACCTTCAAAGCATGGAACTAAAATGCCATCTACTAGGAACCTAATACCAGAAGACTGAACTTCACTGTTAGTGAGTCCTATCAGGCACAAAGTTCTCTCCCTAAGAGTGTGGTTCATAAGTCAGAACAGTGTCTTGAAGTCTTACTTCTACAAGAAGGAAAAAAGAATTCACTAAATGTAATGCATTGGAAGGTTGTTTGCATTTCTTTTTATACTTCTCTGTCTAAATATCAATACCAAATCTGCAACAAATAGAGCAACCACTCCAAGCTTGCCCCTCCTAAAATCCTGAGGTCTTCTAAGTAACCACCAAAAAAACAAAAAAGAATACAGAGCATGTCATCTGGGAGAACAATGACAGACCCAAATTGCTGTAAGGAATGCAATTATAAAAACCAAAATTTCTGCAAGAAAAACGAACAATTTCTACATTGACCAAAATTTGGAAGTGTTAAAGCTTTACATAGATAAAAGCCACATAAGAATGACCCTGTCGATCAAGTAAGTAATTGGTAGCTTCAAGGCCTTCTGCAGACAGACTTCATAATAGCACATTGATTCATTGTTTTCTATTCTGTATGATGACCATACATGAAAGCTACTATTTGTCCCTTTGTAATATCTAAAGCTGAAAGGATATCTATTCAAGTTTATAGATGCAGTTACATATATGGCAATCAAGTAGTATAAAATGAGGCTTTCATGAGAACTGAAATGGAAGATGTGACAATAATATAATTCATCATTACAAAAAAACAACAGCAGAATATATTATGATAAATGGGGCACCCCCTCCTTTTGTATCATTAGAATGAAAGTGACAGGAAAAAATAAATACGAAAGCTTACACTGACTCTGGAGGGACGAAAGATTAATTTAATGTTCTTTTTGGGCTGGAAAAACTAGTGAGTGGGCTGGTTTTGGAAATGAACAAAAAAAAAAAAAAGGTGAAGGAGGCCAGTGCTAAATAGAAAGGTTACCTCAAGTACAAGTAAAAACAAAATCCCGGCAAGCAAATAAATTATAAACCAAAGCAACGACGGTTTAACTCCCAGTTAACAGACCAATGACTTCCAGGGACTGGGAATTCCTGCACAAGAAATAACTCCTAAAGTAGACCATAGAACCAATGAACACTACTTGTAGAAAGCACACTGAGTTGAACTCATTCACCACAGTACTATCAAAATGCACTTAACCATAACGTATGGGTGCCCCTTCACTGTTAAGTACAGCATTCTCATAAGAAACTACCCTATCTGCCATAATTAGGTATGTTGCATCAGATTATTCTTCAAGTATCATGAGACGAAGTAAACCAGCAAGCATAGTTTAATGCCAATAGATCGAAGTAGCCAAATAAGCAAGAAAAAATGTATGCATTCGATAAATGTGTTGCTTACCAACAGAAGGAAAAGGTGGAAAAGACGAATGGGACAAAATATACTCGAAAAATGGCATAAAATGTCTTTATTAGCTCCAATAGATCCATGTTTTTCACTGTCCTCCCTGCATGTTTTCCAGTAAAGCATTAAAAAGGGCTAACTAGTGATTGTAATCATCAATAAGTAGAGGGGAAGCAATCATCGTGTTGCTTACTTCTGCCACGTAAAAAATGGCGCATCAAGCAACAGTAACAGCATTTTGAATAACAAGTCATCCTGCAATCAACAGTAAAATTTTAAAATGTGTGCTACATGGCATATCATCATAATCAGAATGAATGGCATATGACCATATTATGAATGAATGGCATATGACCATAATCGGAATGAAGGAACACACACACATAATCGGAATGAAGGAACCACACACACACACACACAGAGAGTCTTGCCCTATTAGAAAGAAATATCATTTCGGCAACCAATTAGATTTTAGTCATGGACGTTGTTTTATTAAAAATCTAAACCTATCATATAAAAAGTAGTTAAGAAGGTAAACTTTAGGATGCATTATTATTAAGTTCTGTCAAGCTTAAATATTAAAGAATGTACAACTAATGATGCACATAAAAATCGTATTATTAAAGTCCTTAATAATAAGCAAGCTCATTTATTTTTTTTGTCCAAAAGCAAAAAAAATCTTTGATGTGCAGAAAGATCTTCAATCAAGCATGTTCACAATAATGTGATACATACTGTTTCTTAAATTGAATGGAAGTTAAGAGAATGAAAATCCCCTTTCTCTCTCTGTCTCTCTCTCTACATCCATCCATCCATTACACACAGACACACAATATATCGTGATAGTGCGAGAGAGAGGTAAATAGATAAATTATCAGATAGTGAGTGTAGCTATCAATATATATTTATATCTATATCTATATAAATAAATAGATAGGTGTGGTTTGGAGGGTGTACAGTGGCAATTTAATTTCTCAGATTATAATAATATATTGCACGCAGACACCATATGTACATGCATAACAATCTTACAGCATTAAGCTATAATCTCATTCTGAAACAACATCAAATGTGAAAGAATAATCATTACAGAAACAGTATCTGAAATGCAAAAAGCAACACATACAAAAAAAAAGCTAGTTAACAATATTTAAGAAAACGGAACAGCATCAAGGCATGAATAGGGAGAGGAAATGGAAAATTTTGGTCAAGAACTTGAACCTCTTCCATATAAAGCTGAAGAAAAGACGTAGCAAAATAGCTGCACGATCCAGAATAGTTTCTGCAGTTGTGAAACTTGTCCATGGGACACCATCTCTTAAGCCATACAGAAATTTCTAGTAAACCAAAATGGCAAGGATTCCTACAGTGTTTCAAGCCAGAAGAAGTGATTTCTTCTTCAAAAGAACATTCCTTACTAATTTCACCGACACAAGCTATTGTAAAAGAAAATTTAAACAGAAGGAAAATAGTCTGTCTCTGCAGATGCCTAGAGTAAAATTTGTCTCCTTTGACGAAATGGGATAAAAATGGAGACTCTCTTAGACAATTTTCAAAACCAGCATCACATCCTGAGAAGGATCCGTGCAGAATTTCTCCAAAAAACTGATTAAGGAGTTTGAGCCAAGATTCAGGGCAAGTGTTTTTCCAGTGGCTGTGAGAACTAAGTCTGATCATCGTAATCTGATGGGAAGAAAATTAGACAGTGTTATCCATCCAAAATGTTAAAGTAAACTCTTCACCATTCAATCAAGTAAAAGGCATATCCACGGAAATTCTAATTAAGCATATGTAATATATATTGCAGAAATCATGTATCAATATATATTTATCAAAATTAGCAGCTCAAACTTACCAATAATTTGTGTCTCAAATACTCAAAAAGAGACTCTCTGCTATTTCCCAAGTAATTAATGAAACAACATGAAAGGAGTTTAGGCAATAAATCACTGAACTTTGAATAAACTGAAAATTCTTTAAAGGGACTGGTGCCATCAGCTTCAAAATCATATACCTCGATAATAGAACAATATAACTGAAGTATTGTTCCAAAAAGAAGATTCTTCATTGCTATGTAAGAACTTCTAATATCTGATTCATCAACCCTCTGAAAACTTATCTGACTTCTATAGCAGCAATTAAAGACTTCAAACAACATATCCCAAGGCATTTTTATCAGAGAAGAAACGGCACATTGGATAAAAACTTCTTCAAGCTCAACAAAATCATGTTTCAATGATTTCAGTATATTCCGCAGAGTTTGAAATAGGTGCAAAACAATAAACTGATTCACATTGAACAATCTGGACTTAAGAAGTGCAAGAAATCTTGCAGATTGCAAATTTTGATCTTCAGTAATATCTCCTAAATTTTGTTCATCAGGCAACAATTTGTCATCTAATTGAATAACAGCTGGAGCTGATAACTCAGGATGAGAAAAAATTGCTGACATGGCATCTTCCAAAATAAACCAGATCAACCGAAGCAGCTTGGCCCATAAGCATTCCTGGGAACAAATATATTGCCAAGGAAATAAAAAAATAAAAAAAACAAACAAACTGCAGTGCATTCATAATCAGTTATGCATGCATTTGAGCATGAGCAGTGACTGACAGGAAGGTCGGACACATACATGTTTGATCAAGAAGTCGGAGATGGATAAAAGAATGTTTCCAGCCACATGACGAACAAATTGACTATCAGCACTCAGGAAAGCCAACTTCAAAAATAGTTAGTATGGTCATGCATCAGTAAGAAAGCTAAGGAAAACATCATTGATGAAAGAGATTATCCAAGAGTCAACATTTCAGGTAACTTCAAAAACCAAAAATAACAATCACATGAGTTGGAAAAGGTAGAAACTATAATTGAAATGTAGTGTATTTGGAATAATTTAGAGTTGTTTGGTTTGTTTTTTTATTTATTTTTTATTTTTTTTGTATTTTGAAGAAAAATAAATTTGTGTAAAACTGCAATTTGCAGTGTATTTGGAAATCATCCAAAACTGACAAATTCCAAATACACCATTTTCGAACTACATGATGAGTTTCAAATTCACCAAAATTTTATACTACATTCCCATTTTTATCCAATCAAATGCTCAAATTTTTAAAACAACTACATTTCGTTACTTTACAATACAAATTCACACAACGAAATAGCCCCAATATATAATCAGCTCCATTCAATCACCTAAAGAAAATAGACCATTAAATTCTAAGGATACAAAATAATTGTTATATCACTCCACCCATTCGAGTTCTTGCTGTTCCTAATATGCATGCTCATTCGCTAGAGTTGTTTTTAGCCTCCATTCATTTTTCAATATTTTTTTAGCAAGAATAAAAATCATCCCAATGAAAGCTATTCTCCGCCCTTCAAAGTAAACCTAATTTCATCTCTAAAGATGAGATTTCTAAAACGGAGACTACATTTGTATTCCATAATTGACAAGTTTTCCTAGGGCCATCCTAATCTTGAAAATTAGTAGCAAATTAATGTTTGACTTATATTTAATTAGAGATTTCTCTATTGGGCTACTTAACCCTCAACATACAATAACAACAACAATAGCAACAAGCCTTTATACCACTAAGTGAGGTCAGCTACGTCAATCATTATTCTCCTTTGTGCTACTTAACCCTCAACATATTCTAATCAGATTATTTCTAAAAGCAAATAATTGAAAATACTTTCACGTAAATCTTTCTATATGAATGGATTTCTGAGGTATATGCTAAAATGGTCTTCATAATTTGATTCTTCCACAAAACCAACTATAAATCCCTTTTGGGTCGCTTTTCCTTGATTTGAAGTCTTGTTTATATTTTTGGCAAGAACATATAAATGGATGTTGCTGCTGCTAGGCTCTCTAGATAATCATGTAAAACTTTTGGTCAGGGCATGCAATTAGCTATAAGGTGTAACATGAATCATGAAAATCATCCACTAAGAATCCTAGCATGCATGAAATGGAGATAATACAATGGCTAGAGCCAACCTGCGAGCTTGGATGACAATTGTTGCCCATACTAGGATATGGATTGCACTCGAACTATAAAATCAACTACTCTTTCCATGGAATAGAGCATTTCCAAGTCCAAAGTATCAAGGTTGTGGAAGGAAAATCAAATTCAATATCAACATTAATTAAGATTCACCCGCTATGGTGGTGGGTGGTTCTCATGATCAACCAATTGTTGAAATGCAGGTACTCAAGAATTTGATCCTTCATATCCTTCTAATAGAAATCTTTCAAAAATCAAAGAATAAATGGATAAAAAGTTCCAAATCACATTTATTAAAAAAGGAGGGAATTGCCAAAAGCAACGTTTAAATTACACAATTAGGTACTAAGGTTTTTTTCGTTAGAGAGGCGAGGCGTTTTGATGCATAAGCCTCACCAATTGAGAATTGCCTAAGTCAAAATAAAGAGATAAAAATAATATATTAGAATCATAATATATATATATATATATAAAGAAACAATAATATAATAAAGGACATGATATCATTCTAACATGATAAAAAGTTATAAATTATATTTATATTAAGTAACAAATTGCATAAGACACAAATTATAATGTAACAACTTGCACAAATAAAAATATAATGTTAAAACCAACTGATCAAGTAATCAAATAAACATAAAATTTAAAATGAAAGTAATAAAAAATATTAAATTAAAACATAAGATAAGTTTAACAAAATAGACTTTTCTCATTCCTAGTCTCCAACCAAAATAATAATATCCATAAATTTAAATAAAAACATAATAAATAATCATAAGTTGGAGAAATAGGCGACCGTGAGACAGCAAAAGTAGCTAGCGACAGCTGCAACAGGAGCAGCTGGCAGTGGCAGTAGTAGTAGATGGTGGAGCAACATCAAGGGGACAAAAGATAGCAGTGGCTACAACAAGAGTAGTAGACCACTGTGGTTGCAATAGGAGTAGTAGACCGTGGTGGCTATAGTAGGAGCAATAGGTGGCTGTCAGAAGAAGAAGATGGTTGTTGTAGCGAAAGCAATGGGTAGTTGTGATGGTGCCAGCAATGAAAACAATGAAAACAACAAACGAAAATGGCGATAGTGGCAGAAACAACAAGCAACGACGCTCAGAAGCTTGATTGAGAGAGGGGAGCTCTTGTGTGTGATAGTGCGGCTTCAGTTGGTATTTGAACCATGTAGTAAAGGAAAAAAAAACCTTAGCACGAAAGGCGCACACAAAGAAATCGAGGCGCGCCTTGAGGCCAACCTCAATTATATGAGTTATACGTCTTGCCCGAGCTCCTCGAGGCATATGCCTTAAAGCGTTTTTCTTAGGAATTACTAGACACACCTCAAATTGTGCAATTTTAAATGGTGAAAAAGAGTATTTCATTCACTAAGAATTAGTAGGCTTCAAGCATGATAAAATAGTTTGCCTAACAACTTTAGTATTCTTAACTTGTTTGGAGTGAATGGAGCTTCTCCTCCTTTTGATAGATACTTTCTCTCATGCCACCATGATGTATTTTGTTGGTCCTAAGCAATTGCTTTAAGTTGTAACTGTTTCATTTGCCTATTATAACAATTGAAAAATGCAGATAGCCTCTAAATTTTTGTCATTTTTCAAAATTTCCATTACTTTTTATTTATATATGGCAAAAGATTACAATTATAATAGGTTGAGACTTTACTCCTATAAACAAACACTCAAATGGTTACACTATAGGGATGAATCTAAGGTTCCTTTTGTGTTTACAAACGATTGGAGAATAGGTTAAAAAAATAAAACAAAGGAGATGAGGAATAATAAGGGAATACGAAAAAAGGTAATAGAAGAAATTAATCAACGTGTTACAAATATTAAGGGGCTCAGTCATATATGGAGGGAGATCAAGAGAGAGAGCAAGTGATAGAAAGCGGATGGGAGGGGGAAGGGGGGAAAGTATGAGAAGAAAGTGGGACACCGTCCTTCATAATTTTTTTAATAAAAAGGAAGATCAGCAACAATGAAAGCAACAAAGCAAACTAAGTTAAAACTGCTAGCATATGAAATATAATCAATTGAAATTATTATTTATCTTCCACCATTCTACAGTCACATAATATTAAACAATATGAGCAGAAACAAAGAAGAAAACAAGTCAATAGAATCATATGAACAACAATCGCTTCAAGATTTGAACTCGTCCATAAGCACCTATAACTATATCATTCCACATTAAACAAGCACCTGTATAACTGAAGGAACTGATTTCTAGATATTTAAAATATGCAATAGTAAAGTGCTATAATTTCACTTACCACCACAACTACTCCATAGATAATTTTCTACTTAAAATTAGACAAGAACAATTTAATAGATTTGGCATATCATCATACCACCACGACAATTATCCAAATGGAAATACAGGACAGAACTATGAAATAAATTTGGATGAACTAGAACGTGAAATTATAACTAGCCAGGATTATTTTTTTCAATGACTGAATCTAATAAGGATTTCCTGACACAATTATGCACTTAACCCTTCATTTTAGTATAAAGCATAAGCAAATAAAATGTATGGACATGTCTCACAAAATAAAAAGAAATAGTATATAGTGAAATTTAACAGAGAAAAATAAAAAGGGATAGTTCAGAAATAGAAATTTAAATGACAAATGAAAACAGAGCAATTAACAGACCATGGCAGACACGATATTGTAAAGGCATCCTTGCTCTCCCACAAACGTTTGCTGCAAAGATTTGTGGCAATAGTGACTGAGGTGTGAACCTTCACCTATCTGCCACAATCGCAAAGGATAAAAACATTCAGGGAAAATTTATCGGATTTTAGGCTAAGGGAGCATGCAATGGAAAAACCCAAAGCAGACCAGAGCAGTTTCCAGGTGTCACATAACACCAAAGGATATGATGTCAAGCAATCCATCAAAACATTTAGGGGCTGTCTCGCAACGAATTTAACCCAGGATTTATGCAGGATTTAAGCAGCATCCTGCCAGACGATCATTTTGGACAGAATAAATCCTCGAATGCCATAAATCCAGATTCCACGAATTTTGACTGTAAATTTCGAAAATTCAAAATCCAACAAACCGATGAATTTAACTTCACGGGGCTTGGAATTTAACTTCGTGGGCTTCAAACTGTCTCCAACAGACATAACAACTTCTTAAATCCTTGCGGAAATTGTCAAAACAGTTCTATTGGATTTACAGGATTTAATAAATCCGTTGCCAGACAGATTTCCGGATTTAATCCATTCAGCATTTAGTAAATCCAGATTTACGGGATTTACTAAATCCTAATTCCTTAAATCTCATCAGCTGCCAGATAGCATCTTAATACTTTGATGCTGTTCAGCATCTAAAGACAGTGTATTAACAAGCAAAAAAAAAATCATAGTCAATTTTTGGCACTACACATTCTCTGGTTTACTAATCGATGTGGACATCCAACGCTGGATTTCTCGCCGAACCTGCAAGATATAGCAATTTCAGCCGAAAGAATCCTGAAGCTGAGGAAAATGATAAAACGGGTGGAAATATAAATTACCTCGGTAAGAGAGAGGAGTAGATCTCTTTCAGTCTCCTTTGTCAAGCAAGCAGTGTTGGGCACCTGCGTGGTGAGTGAGTAAACCCTAGATAAGTCGGATTAATCTAAGACAATCTTAGATGACTCAGACTAATCCAAAACAAAGATTATGGAGAAAGATGAGACGAACAAGGTAGGGGATGAGATGGCCGGAGATGAGAACACAAAGGCGCGAGGCGGGTTCCATGCCCGACATATTGGCGTTCACAGATAGAATGTTCCCAAAAATCGAACCAGCGGAGTGGTTAATGGGGGTTGAGCCGAATAATATAGTAAATACTAAATTTATTTTAATATAATCTAAGTAATTAACAATAAAATTACACAACTAAAAACAAATATATACTATTATTTTAAAATTTAAAAAATGAAATGCATTTTTTTTTCATATATAAATAAAAGGAATTGTATGGAAAAATTTAAATTTTAGGTGGTGGTTTGTTGTTTATATTAATAAGAATTGTTAAATACACGGATTTCTTCAAGGATGCGGCCGAGATGGCGGCGCGAGAAACGACGGAGTAAATCTGCGAAATCTGTCTCACATACAGATTTGATAAATTTGGATTTAAGCTGCAGATGATGTGGAATGGGAGAGCCTAGGATTTAGCAGAGAACTGGATTTAGATTTCTCCTTTTTAAAAATTTGGTTAGATTTAGATTAAATCCAATATTAAATCCTGTTGAAAGTGTGTCACCTTAGAGATGTAAATGCACAAGAATTTAGGGATCGGTTTGTAAATCTTTCAAAAACTTATGATAATAATATATTTTATAAGATTTAATAAGAATATAATAATTATATAAGAAATTTAATGAATTTCATATCGTAATGTTAATAATACTTATATTTTTATATGATATTAAAGCTTTAAGTATTATGTAAATAAATACGAAAGTCTAGGTCATGTTTGGAATCACTCTCTCTTTTATGTTTTTGTTTTTAGTTTCAATGATTTTTTTTTATTTTTAGTAAATGGGTTTTGTTTTGTTATGATTTTAATATTTATTTAAAAAATATAAAACATGTTAGATCGAGTATTTTCTATTTAAAAAAAAAAACAAAACATTTTAATGGATTAAGTAGATCTATTATTAAAATTTTATAATTTTTTAGTCAATTAATTAAATTACAATTTGAAATTAAATTAATAATATGTTTATCATTATTGTTAATTAAGTTAATTAATTAAATTATTAATTAATTAAAAGTTAAAATTATTAAGTTAATTTATTAGTTTTATTACTATTAATTGAAATTAAATAATTAATAAGTTTATAATTATTAAGTTAAATAAGGCAATTAATTAAATTATCAATTGAAATTATTAATTAATTATATCTAATAATTATTAAGTTAATTAATAAAATTGTTAATATTTTTATATATTAATTTATTAATTAATACAATTAAATATTTAATTAATTAAAAGATTCATATGTTATTTGAATTATTATAGGTTGAATTGATTAATTATTAAATTTATTAAGTAGATTTATTATTAAAATTTTATAATTACTAAGTAAATTGATTAAATTTTTTATTTATTATGTTAATTAATTTTTTTTATAATTATTAATTGAAATCAAATAATTAAAAATTTTTATTTATTAAGTTAATTACATTATTTAATTCAATTATTCATTTAAATTATTAATTAATTAATTCTATAATTAAATAGTTAATTAATTAAATAAATAATATGCTATTAAGTTTATTAATTAAAATATATAATTATTAAGTTAACTAATTTAATTGGTTATTATTTTTAAGTTAATTTATTAATTAAATTATAATTATTAACTAATTAACAAATGATTAATAGTTTATTTGAATTATTTTGGGTTTAATTGATTAAATATTAAGTTAACTAAATAGATTTATTATTAAAATTTTATAATAATTTAGTTAATTAATTATATTATTAAGTGAAATTAAATAATTAACAAGTTTATAATTTTATAGGTTTAGTTAGTATTGCTTGTTTTCAAAATGTAGAAAACTTTTTTACATGTTTTCTTTGTTTTGAGAACAGTTCACTTGTGTTTAAAAAAAAATTTAAAAAATAGATAAAGATTTGGATAAATAAATAAATTCTAAATATTTTTTTATTTATTTTTATTTTTTATTTTTAAAAATAAAAATTCATCCCAAATAACTCGTTTAATTACTTCCATCCGGGCTGAACTTTGGCCAGTTCAGAGTTCTCTCTGGTAGACTTGCCCGTCGCAATTCCTCTCCAGCCCTACCGCCGTGATTCATCTCAGGTGACTGGATCCACCGAAGTAGCTGCGGATATGGAGATGCCTACTAAGAGAAAAACTGGATACGAAGACGAAGAAGAAGACGATGTCGGACGAGAACAGAAGAGACGGCGGCTCTCTCTCGAGGGCAACGACTCTCTCCTTTCCCTCGCTCGCTATGACGACGACGGTGACGACGAGGAGTCCGGAAGGGCAAGAGTGAACACGAATCTACGAGATGAGAATGGACAAAGACATAGCAGTGACGGCGAAGATGAAGATGGCGCTGTTGATGATGGAGAAGAGGAAGAGGAGGAAAAAAGAACTGAACAAAGTAAAGGCAGGGGGAGGCGGCAGGGTATGGTGGAGATCCGGAGGGATTGCCCTTATCTCGATACTGTTAATCGCCAGGTAATTTATGGGTTGAAATCGAACTCTTAAACATCTGAGGCGTAATGGTGAAATTTCTGTAGAAACTCCAAAGTTAGGTTTGCTCACATGGGAGTGGGAGTTCAGGCAAAGCCGTAAGGTTATTAGATCAAAGAGGGCAATACCTTGATGGGTGGAAAATATTTGCGTACTGCATACGTCGGAGGTTATTCAAAGTGTACAGAGGGTTACATCCGCATCATGCCCCTTGTAATCTCCCTGTAACTTACCTGTACCTACCGGAGCTACACAAGCGCAGAACTTATTTGTAGGTTACATGTATGTTACAGGGAAGTTACAAGGGTATAACGCGAATATAACTCCTATACCCTCTGAATAACCTCCTGACGTACGCAGCGATGCGTACGTCTTACGTACATAAATATTTTCCCAAAAAATGGGTCTCTTTGTGGGTTTTTCTTGCAAGTTTAGTATATTATATTTTTAATTTTGCTAAGATTTTTTCATATTCAGGGAAAGCATTTTATTTGTTTTTATTTTCAAAAGTTAGTACACAACACATTTGTTTTGACCACAAAAGTGCAAAGTGAGGCATTATATGGAACGTGCGTCTCTTATATTGCTTCAGGCCATAAAAAACACGATTATAAATTGTTCAGGCCACGAAAAACACACTTATAAAGTGCTTGTTTATTCGGGAAAATATTTACGTACGTAAAACGTACGCAGCGCTGCATACGTCGGAGGTTATTCAGAGGGTACATGGGGGTTATATCCGCATTATACCTCCTGTAACCTCCCTGTAACTTACCTGTACCTACATGAACTATAGAAACGCGAAACTTATTTGTAGGTTACAGGTAGGTTACTGAGAGGTTATAGGGGGTATAATGCAGATATATCCTCCCTATACCCTCTGAATAATCTACCGACGTACACAGCGCTTACGTACGCAAATATTTTCCGTTTATTCGGGAGAGTTTCTTTAACAATGTCTTTATTTCTAAAGCATGGCACAACATAGAATTACCACAATTTTACCAAAGAAATTGTTACGGTGGTTTTGATGTTTTAATTTTAAACCATAAAAAAGTTTACTTAAGGAATCATACAAAATTCAAGGCAGGTATGAACCTTGATGGTAGGGTCGTTGAAGCTAGCACAAAAAGTGTCCTTTAATACAATTACAATATCGAGGAAGGTGGATCACTTTTTTGGACTTGCTCTTCGTTTTCTTCTTCTTCTTCTTGATCTTTATCCTTCATCTGGATTGTGGCATCACTATCCTGTTGACACAACGTCTAGGTAATATGTGATCCCACTTCTTTAGTTGATAAACTTGATTCGTTAGAGTATTGGCTAAGACCTAAGACGTAGGAAAATTGTGCTTGTCCTCATGAGAAAATCATTGTTTATTTAGTTGGAATAAGTTTTGCTTCAAACCATGATGCAAAAAACGAGGATATAGATTTGCTTCACATTCCACTCATACACTGACTCAAGCATTTGAAGGTTTTGTATCGGGATTGACATCCTTGTGGCTAAGGCCATTATTTAATTTAGTGTATTTAGGGTGCAATATTTTGTCAACAATGTTCTTCCAACAATTCTCTCGACACATGAGATAGGAATGAAATAAATTGGATTGCCGGTTGTCATCTAATGCTTGAAAATGCACAACACACAAGCATCGCCACATAGTTGGGTTTGGTTGCTCTAGCATGATACATAAAGAGTTGGCTTCTGCTGCATACATGCACTCTTCTGAATAAAGTGCTGAGCCTGCCCTTTCATTTAAAAGTAGGTGTCATGATCTTTTTAAACTTATCGGGCCTTTATATTTATCTCACTCCATGCATTTGTTGCTCCCTTATTGAAATTGTCGATTCACCATTGATTATCACGGCGAGCAAGTTGCAGCTTTGTTGGTTTATGTCAAGGGAGTTCTTATCAATTAAGAAGTTTTGTCGTAGGGAGCCCTATCTGCAATACAGAGCTCTTGTCAATGGCATTCCTATTTTCAACTTTCACATTATGACAACTTTGGAAAATATTTGGTTGATGAGGGGTTTTTGCCTTGTCATTAAAATATTTGCTTGAACCATGAAGGAATAACAAGGGTGTAATCCAACTTTTCCCTGTCGTAATATAAGAGGAATGCTATAGGACTTTTCCACTCTCCTCCCCATTTGATTGAAAAAGGATAGATATTGATTAGTATGTTTATACTACATAAAAGGAATTAACTATGATTGTACAACTTTGGTTTGCCACTTGCAAATGGATACAATCATATTTACAGCTCTACCATTCAACAAGAGCAATTCTTGTGCTTAATTGGCTCAACAGATGCTGCAATGATCCTCTAAAACTAGCTGTGTATTAATATTGACAGTTTTTGCTCCAACTCTTACTATGGTCTATAGGAATCTTCTCCTTTGAGAATATCTTCATATCTTCTTGATGGAAGAACAATTTCTAGATGGGGATGTAATCATCTCTCCTTCCCGAATAATTTTAAAAATACTTTTTCACTAATTCATTCCCTTTCAATCAACACATTGATTTAGGATGCCCGTTAATGGAACTTATAATGGGCCTTGAGACTCGTTTATGTATGATCATCATTTTCATAAAGTGATATACATAAGTTATCCTATAAATGCCATCCTTAGTAAACATCCCAGCTCGAACTTAGTTTCACTTCCATAGCTTGATCAAGGGTTTCATCGTGTTTACTTTTCATATTATTCGCCTTTTCATTCTAACTGTTGCATCTCCAAGCACTTGTTTAGATTTTTGAATTATTGCCAATACATGGATGGCTTCTTCAGTGTGTTTTGAAATTATTTATTTATAAGGTCTTTTAAATCTTAGGGTTGCCTCCAAAATTCATTTGGGGGCATTTCCTTATTGACCTTCCACCAAGTGCTTTAGCATCTCTTTGATGAAGGTAGTAACATCAAACTAAAACATTCATTGATGGAATTTGTTTATGCTGATTTTATATGGTTGTTAGGAGGTAACTAAAGGTCATGTATAATACTTTTATTAAGTGTTTTGCAAGTGAAAGAAGCAATAGGTGACCAAGGATGCAATCTATGGCCTCAAAAGTTTGGTCAGGCTCGTCACATCCAACAAGAACATTATTTGGTGAAAACTACTTGTGATGTGGTCAACTAACTAAAGACTGGAATAGTTGTGATTAGTCTAGTTATAATCATTTATAAAATGGTTATGTTTTACCAAAGTTTGTCAGTACCTCTTTAGATGAGCATGTTGTTCGTGAAAACAATTTTGGTGATTTTCACAGCACATTCTTAAGTGAATGAGGATTTTTTATTTTCATTTTTTTAAACTGTTTGATTTACTTAAAAACATTTATTTGGTTATTAAAATTTATTTCTTCCTCGGGAAACACTCTTGTTCATCCAAAAGGATTACTTACATTGCTTATGCTAGCATTTAACTTTGGGTCTCCATGCTTTCATTCATTCTTAAGAAGTGTAGTACACATCTTAGGCGATGACATAAGAGTATATAGAGGCCATCTTCACAGAAATGGTGCATGTAACCTACCTAAATTGAGAGGGTTTAAGGAGCCCTCCAAAGAGAGTAAATTGGAGCAGCCATGCTTTGTGTATATACAAATGTAAACCTAACTTCTTAGGTATATTGGAACAAACTCTACTAAAAAAAATATGGAGTGTAAAAGGTCGAAGGAGCTTACCCAATTCCACGGGATATGAAAGGGCCAACCACAATATAAGTATACACATTGGTCCTAGAATTACATGAACAAATAGTGTAAAACTATGAAGAACAGAGGAAATGGAGTAATTGAAGGGTCCATTGTCTTCATTAAGCTTTTGAATATCCATTAGTAGAGACTGTAAATAGCTTTATTGTTGTAGAAGGTATGATTGTTTGTTACATTGGTAGTGGATGCCCAACATGCATGTCTATGTTGCCTTAGGTGGGTAGCGATCAGTGGTTGTGATTTACTATTATATGGTAGCTTTAGGACCGCTATCTTGATTTTATTTGAGTGCTTCTATCGCTTCCCAGTAAGCTTTTTGGTTGAATCTTGTGGTGTGAATTTGTCTCTTTGATAAAGGAAGAGTGCTTTGGTGAGATATCAATGAATATGTGAAGAATTTGATTGGAGTAGGGACATGATGAAAATCAATATGCTTTAACTTGATGCAGTCACAAATTAAGTTGTGATTGATCTTTTTGTGTTTGGTCTTTGTATGAAGTACTTGGTTGTTAGCGAGTGTGATTGTAGTGACATTGTCGTAGTAAAGGTGCAGTGAACTTATGGATACATGATGTTTGTTGTTGCAACTGTGAGTGTAATTTTGACTTCTATGGATGTTTGAACTACCATGATTGGTTTATTTGTGGATCATAAGATGAGCATTTAGAAATGTAAAATATCACGTTTTCAATTTGTGATCTATGATATTGATAGTTCATTCAAAATCAGAGTATGTTGACAGTTGTAAGATTCCACGGTGATGGAAAGGATGTTGCTAAGAGTTATTGAGGATAACATAGTAGGCTTTGGAGCATTTGAAAGTGAATATTAAGAGATTGTGTATATAATTCCACAAACAGTTGATGACACATAGTAGGTTCGGCCTCATTGTGGTAAGTTGTTATCGTGAGTCCTCCAATTGGCAATAAATTTTGGGATTGCTTGCACCAAGTGAATGCTTTTTGTGGGCGCAACTTTGGTGGTGGTAGGATTTTGTATGAGTTTGCAAGTGCTCATTCCGGAGTGAAGAAAAATATATATTGATTTAGATGAATGTCAATTGGAATTAATGTGGTTTATATCTTGAAAAAGAAGTGATTGAGCCTAAATTCCTAATTTTGAATTGATCTGAAGATGTTTGAGAAATTCAAACATTGATGTGGGATCATTGCCAATTAGGGGAATATTGTACATGTAAATGATGATATATAGAATGATAGTACGTGTATGGAGTACTAGAGAAGGGTTATATTATGCTGAA